TCTTCTCTGTAACACTACTCTTTTGAATGATGATTATAGAACTGACTGCTGGGATTGTAAACAGTAGCTCATAATCTCACTAAGGGCAGGCAGGGGCTGAGTCCTGTTTATTTTTGTGTCCCAGTGCCTCCCATTATGTCTTAAATATAATAGCCCTGGTTTTTATTTAGCTCAGCCATAGGTGACCACTGGTTAAGGTTAACTTTAGACCTAGGTTTCTTTGTTCTACTCTTCCCTTGTGGAGAGCCTGGGCAGGATATGGGTGTACGGAAGAGAGTTTTACTTCTTCCTCCAGCTCCTTTGTCACTCTTCTTCCACCTTCTCCAACTTCTCTAACTTCACCTCTTTCTCCTCCTTCTTCTCCAGCTCCCTCCTTTTTCTCCTTCTCCAACTCCCTCAACTCCTGCTCTTTTCCTTCTCCAGCTTCTCTAATTCCTCCTCTTCCTCTTCCTTCCACTTTTCTTCCTCTAACTCCTTCTCCTCCTCTTTCAATTCTTCCAAATCTTCTTCCTCCTCCTCCAGTAACTCTTCCTTCTCCTCTAGTTCCACTTTCTCCTGTAACTCCCCCTCCTCTTCCAGTTTCACTTCCTCCTGTAACTCCTCTAACTCCTCTTCCGGTTCTTTTTCCTCCTCGTCCAGTTCCTCTTCTTCCTCTTCCTCTAGTTCCTCTTCTTCTTGTAACTCCTTCTCCTCCTCCAGTTCCTCTTCCTCTGGTAACTCCCCCTTCTCCTCCAGTAACACTTCCTCTTCTTCCTGTAACTCTTCCTCCTCTTCCTCCAGTTCCTCTTCCTCCTATAACTCTTCCTCCTCTTTCTCCAGTTCTTCTTCCTCTGATAACTCCTCCTCCTGTTCCTCTTCCTCCTGTAACTCTTCCTCCTATTCCCCTAGTTCCTCTTCCTCTTCTTCCTCCAGTTCCTCTTCCTCCTGTAACTCCTACTCCAGTTCCTCTTCCTCCTGCAACTCTTCCTCCTCCTCCTCCAGTTTCTCTTCTTCATGTAACTCCTTTTCCTCGTCCTCCAGTTCCTCTTCCTCATGTAACTCCTTCTCTTCTTCCAGCTCCTGTTCCTTATGTAACTACTCCTCCTCCTCCAGTTCTTCTTCCTCTTGTAACTCCTCCAACTCCTCCCCCAGTTCTTCTTCCTCCTGTAACTACTCCTCCTTCTCCTCCTGTTTCTCTTCCTCCTGTAACTCCTCCAACTCCTCCTCCTCCAGTTCCTCTTCCCCTTGTAACTCCTCCTCTTCTAGTTCCTCTTCCTCCTGTAACTCCCTCCTCCTCCTTCAGTTCCTCTTCCTCCTGTAACTCCCCCAACTCCTCTTCCTGCTCTAACTTCTCCAACTCCTCCTCCTCCAGTTCCTCTTCCTCCTGTAATTCCTCCTCCTCCTCCAGTTTCTCTTCCTTTTCCTTCAACTCTTCCTCCTTCTCTAACTCCTCCAAGTCATCCTTTTTTTTGCTCTTATTTTCTAAGTTTTCTGCATAATTATTTTTTGATTTTTCTTTTTTATGATTTAGTGTAAATGTTTAGAAAACTCATTCTGGAGGATACAGGGAGGAGAACACATATATTTATTTGTCTGGATAGCTAAAAATATTTCCGAAAGGATACATAGGAAACTGGTGACATTACTTGCTTTTGAGGAGAATAATGGGTGGCTGGGATGGTCGGGGTGGAAGGTAGGCTTTGCACTTCTGTACCTTGTGAATTTGGAACTGTGATTAATAGTCCTTGAAAGTAAAGATATCGAAAACACATAAAAGCATGAAAAAATATACAAAAACATCAGTTTGGCAAGAGTAAGAGTAAAAGAGAAAGTTACCTTTTTTTTTAAATAAGAAAAAGAAAAGAGAATTCAATCTGCTTAAAGCCTAGGGGCTTCCAGTCTCTTTCTTTCTTTGCATGTTGTTCATAGGAATTTGTTACCTATTTTTGAATGTACCAAGCCTTTGTTGCATAATTACGTTCAAGAAGCATATGCTTATTAATTAGAAATCTTATGCAATTCTAGTTGAAGGGGAGGTTTTCTTATATGTATTTTAAAAATCACGGTAGGGAGACTTGAACAAATTGGATCTTAGTGTTTACTTAAGGAATGGAGACCTTGCTGTCTTTCCTGTTGCTTCCTAGCTAAGCAGGAAGTCTGACTTCTTGAGCTAAAACAGAATTAATCTAAGACTTCTAATAATAAGATTTTCAAGGTGGGGAAAGGAAACTCATTGTCCATGTAACCTTGGAAAATTACTTACCTTTACTTCAATTTCATCTAAAAGTAAGGATGTTAACACCTACTTATAGAGTTAAAGAATTAGAGATAGTATTATATAAATCAGTATTATATAAGCACAGAACCTGGCACCTCATGTAGATCCTTAAAATTGTATTATTATTATTATTGTTAGTTTTGGTTAGTATCAGTTCATTTTAGACCCCTTGAAGGAGTAAACACTATGAAATTTTTTTAAATTGAGGATAAATGAAAATGAATGATAGTTGTTTAGAAGAAGGAATATATCAGTTATTTATTGCTGTGTAACCATCTGCTGTGAATTTAGTGGCTTAAATAAACAACAATGAAATATTATTTCTTGGCTGGGTACGGTGGCTCATGCCTATAATCCTAACATTTTGGGAGTCCGAGGCAGGTGGATCACTAGGTCAGGAGTTCAAGATCAGCCTGGCCAATATGGTGAAATCTCGTCTCTACTAAAAATACAAAAAATTCACTGGGCATAGTGGCACGCGCCTGTAGTCCCAGCTGCTCAAGCGGCTTAAGCAGGATAACTACTTGAACCCGAGAGGTGGAGGTTGCAGTGAGCCAAGATTTCACCACTGCACTCCAGCCTGGGTGATAGAGCAAGACTCTGTCTCAAAATAAAGAAATATTATTTCTCATAATTCTGTGGTTTGGCTTGGTGGCTTTTCTGCTTGTTTCCTTACACTTACTGGCATAGATGCAATCAGATGACAACTGGAATAGTTAGATGGTCCCAGATGGCCTCACTCACATGTCTGGCAGTTGCTGTTGGCTGTTAGTCAGAGCATGTTGGTTCCCCACGTGGCCTCTCATGTCCAATAGGCTAGACCAACTTCCTTACAGCATGGCCATCCCAGGGCAGCATTTTAAGAGGGCAATTTCCATTGCTTGAATAGCAAGTCTCTGCTTGCTTTTGTAGTTGCTGATTTCACAGGGTCAAGCCCAGAGTCACTGCAAGAGGGGACTTAGACTCCACCTTGGTAAGGAAGGAATAGCAAATAATTTGTGGCCATTTTTAATATACCACCAGCCTGGTGGTTGTTTGATCTGCGTCTTGGACTAATATTAGTCCCAGAAAGAGATTCTTTTGGTTTCTTACATTTTCTGTATCATTGATTCCTTCTTTAGTCCAATATAAGAGATGATAAAAGAACTGGAAGTTTCAGGGGTGGGCGGAAAAAGAAAAAAAAATAGAACTGGAAGTATCATATTTGTAGTAAAAATTGGAATGAAGGATAGTAGCTGCTTTTATGTATTTGAAGATCTTTCCTGTGAAGGAAGGACTAGCTCCAACATTTGGAAATGACTAGAAAACAGATTTCTCCTCAATATTAGGAAGGATTGCTCTGTGAGATACTGAGCCTTCTTGAATGCCATCCCTCCCTCACCCTTCTGTGTTGTGGGAAGCGGTAAAGTAGAAGACGGATAATTATGTGCTGGGGCTTTGAAAGGAGGGTTTTCTTCACTAAATGACCTGATGTATGTGATTCCATACCTTAGAAAGAATCTTATTGCTTTTCTGTTGAGATTAGGGGTGAGGATGGGGTGGTATTAGAAAGGGAGAGAATTGCTATGTTTAGACTGTGAGTTACTCTACTGAGAATTTTAATTTTACTTTATTTATAAAAGAAAGACTTATTTTCTGGAAACTTTGAAAGTTGGAATTTACTATTGGCGTGAAAAAAACTTCAATTCGGTACAGTGTCAGGGGGGTACTGAATCTTGAAGATAGGTTTCCTGTGGATCTTCTTGGTTTAAAATGAAAGGAATTAAGTAATAGTTTTAGGATAAGTAAGAAATAAATGTGTACAATGCTCCAGGAGCTATAGGTTAATTAGACAGATTATGCAGTTAGTATAGTTAAAACAGTTTTGGTACTTTGCCCATATCATGTATTTTTGCCCTTCTCAAACATGATTTTGAGATCTAATTTTATAACAAAACCCTAGGCCCAAATGGTGCTATTGTCAGCCGAGAATACTGTGTCAATATCTGATCAGAATGTAAGCCTGTTTCCTTTCTCTTTTTTTTGAGATGAAGTTTCGCTCTGTTGCCCAGGCTGGAGTGCAGTGGTGTGATCTTGGCTCACTGCAACCTCTGCCTCCTGGGTTCAAGTGATTCTCCTGCCTCAGCCTCCCTAGTCGCTGGTATTATAGACGCTCGTCACCATGTCCAGCTAATTTTTGTATTTTTAGTAGAGAAGGGGTTTCACCTTGTTGGCCAGGCTGGTTTCAAACTCCTGACCTCAAATGATCTGCCTGCCTTGGCCTCCCAAAGTGTTGGGATTACAGGTGCGAGCCACTGCGCCCAGCTCCTTTTTCTTTTTTGTGTCTTTCTTTTCTTTGTTGCAGGGAGGAGGAGGTGGAGGCTACCATTTACTCCACTGTAAAGTAGTGTGATGTAGGTGCTGCCCCTGACTTTGTTTAATGTCACCAAGCCAGCCACTTTGGTCAACAGTGTTTTCTATGGAACCTCCCTGATTTCCCATACTTGGTTTTTTAGAAGACCGAGAGTAAGGCGATAAGCTGCAGTACCTACAGTGATTCAGACACAGAGTGGTGTTAGGTTTCTGGTGGGAAACAGAATTGAAGTTACAAATAAATATACTAGCTAAAGCAGAGATTGCTTTCCCGAATGGTGCGTTTACAAGCTGGGAAATTGTGAAAAATATCAACCCGCCAACTGTGTGGCTCATTGGCTCTTCTTCGGGCTTCGATGTTCTTCCTGATAAAAATAATAATTATGTTATTCTGATATGGTTGCCAAGCCGTTCATGCTTCTCACTCTGCTTGTGATTGTAAATGATTCTGCAGCATGAGTTGCTTTGTCTTTGATTTAATGTTTCATAACATTTGAGTGTTATGTTATCTGTGCTAATTTGTTGTTCTCTTCTCTTACTTTTCAGAATGGACTGCTGAATTATGAAGTATTTCAGACCCAATAGTAGAACATCACTCTGCCACTCACTCCTTTATCTCCTACTAGTTATTTAAATTGGACTTTTAATATCCTACCAGCTGCTCTTCAGACACACATGGTGCATTGTTGCCATTCCCCAGATTGCATCTTTGAAACACAGGCTCTTGGTAACCTTCAGCGAACAAAGAGGCAACCTCCCAGATACGTCTGCTGGGAGGGAGTCATCCTGACTGCCCTCTAGCTTTTGCTGGATCTGGATTTGAATTCCATCATGGAGCCTCGCATGGAGTCCTGCCTGGCGCAGGTGTTGCAGAAGGATGTTGGGAAACGATTGCAGGTTGGCCAAGAACTGATAGACTATTTCTCAGATAAACAGAAGTCTGCTGACCTTGAGCATGACCAGACCATGTTAGATAAACTTGTGGATGGGCTTGCTACCTCTTGGGTGAACTCTAGCAATTACAAGGTAAGCTGTGCTTTAGAAGGCACTTTTGTAGGTGGCTGGGCTGCATTGGTAGATCAAAATTGGCCCTTATAAAAATACCTCGTGAGCAGTCAGCATGCTTTCTTGACCTCCAGTCACTCAATCAGGCTGTGGCTTTGGGTTATTTCATTCTGAAGAAAGTAGAGTTTTCTTTGATACTTACTGAAGATCAAATATCCTTACCCTTTAGCTCTTTCAGAGAAGGTCAAGTGAACAGATAAGGGGAGGTTATTTTGTTAGAAAATTTACAAGCATTTGTAGCCTTGAAGTTAATGTGTATATTGTGTCTTGCAGCAAATAGGTCCTGAGACCTTGGTGAGTTGCCCTTTATGAATAACAAATGTCTTCACTGATTTGTTCTGGGGTGTAGAATTGGTATTAGGGTGTGGAACATTTTACTTTCAGGTCACTGTTGTGAAGCTGGCCCATGTACCTGGACAGAAATAGTATAGGTTGTCAAGGACTTTTCTGTGACCTGTGCATAATGGCCTGGCGGATATCCTTCAGGATCTAAAGGTCAAGGCTGTTCATGTGACCATGGCAGGGGGTGGGGGTGGGGGTGGGGCTAGGTCCCATGGGTCAGATGAGTTGTGAAAGTTGACCATTTTACCTTTCAAAGACAGTTTTCATGAATAAAAACTAGATTGGACTTAAAGTGCTGAAGAGGTGGTATACCTCTCTCTGCTCCTTCCCTATCCCCATCCCTTGTTCTCTCTTTTCATTTTCCTGGAGGGTGGCCACTTTGGGTCAAGGTTGAGATGGAAGGAAGAGTGGAAAGTTTGCATGACTGCTAATAGGTGCTATAGACATTGTAAAAGGGGCCTACAGAAATAGAATCTTCTGTGTTTTTTTTATTGCCTCAATCTTTTGAGATTGGTTTGGACATAAAAAGCCACAGGACTCCTTTGCTCTAGTATGTACTCTATTTTCTAAATATGTTAACTGTGCCCCTAGTATTTTACTTACCACTGGATATAAAATTGATCTGTCCTGTCTTTATTTATTTACTTATTTTATTTTTATGTATTTTTTGTTTTGAGACAGAGTCCTACTCTGTCGCCCAGGCTGGAGTACGATGGCCTGATCTCAGCTTACTGCAACCTCTGCCTCCTGGGTTCAAGTGATTCTCAAGCCTCAGTCTCTTAAGTACCTGGGAATACAGGTGCTTGCTACCATACCCAGCTAATTTTTGTATTTTTAGTAGAGATAAGGTTTGATCAGGCTGCTCTTGAACTCCTGACCTGAGATGATCCACCTGCCTTGACCTCCCAAAGTGCTGGGATTACAGGCGTGAACCACCGTACCCGGCCCATTTATTTATTTTTGAGACCAAGTGTTGCTCTGTTGCCCAGGCTGGAGTGCAGTAGCACTATCTCGGCTCACTGCAACCTCCACCTCCTGGGCTCAAGCAGTCCTCCCACCTCAGCCTCCCAAGTAGCTGGAAATACAGATGTGTACCACCATGCTCCACTAATTTTTGTGTTTTTGTTTTGCTACGTTGCCCAGGGTGGTCTTGAACTCCTGGGCTCAAGCAGTCCACCCACCCCAGCCTCCCAAAGTGCCAGGATTACAGGCATGTGCCACCACACGCAGCCTATCTTAACCTGTCTTTAAACTCTGAGCTAAAATTCTATTTCATTCATCTGTTTATTCACTTAGCTGAAGTTATCAATTGCTTCTTATGTGTCTGGCATTGGTACTGGATGGTGGGAGTGTTAAAAGATGAGAGGTGATAGAGTCTGGTCATTACAATTTTGTTCTTTTTTAAAAGTAACTTTAAAAAATTGACAAATAATTTTACATGCTTGGGGTACCTAATGATGTTTTGATGAATATAATTTGTAGTGATCAGGTTAAGGTAATTAGCATATCCGTCATCTCAAATGTTTATCATTTCTTTGTGTTGGGAATGTTTAATATCCTCCTTCTAGCTATTTGGAACTATATTACTGTTAACTCTAGTCATCCTACAGTGGTATAGAACACCAGAGCTTATTCCTCCTATCTAGTTATAATTTTGTATTCTTTAACAACTCTCTTCCTATACACCTCCTTCCTCCTATCCTTCCCAGCTTCTGCTATTCTCTCTTCTACTTTTTGCTTACAAGATCAGCTTTTTTTATGCTTCACATATGAGTGAGAACATGCAGTGTTTAACTTTCTGTTCCTGGCCTATTTCACTTAACATAATGCCGTCTAGTTCCATCCATGTTGCTGTGAAGGACAGGATTTTATTCTTTTTCATGGCTGAATAATATTCCATTGAATATACATACCACATTTGCTTTATCCATTTTTTGTTGTTGGATATGTAGGTTGATTCTTTGCTGTTGTGACTAGTGCTGCAATAAGATGGGGGTGCAGAGCCGGGCGCGGTGGCTCACGCCTGTAATCCCAGCACTTTGGAAGGCCGAGATGGGTGGATCACGAGGTCAAGAGATCGAGACCATCCTGGTCAACATGGTGAAACCCCATCTCTACTAAAAATACAAAATATTAGCTGGGCATGGTGGCGCGTGCCTGTAATCCCAGCTACTCAGGAGGCTGAGGCAGGAGAATTGCCTGAACCCAGGAGGCGGAGGTTGCGGTGAGCCGAGATCGCGCCATTGCACTCCAGCCTGGGTAACAAGAGCGAAACTCCGTCTCAAAAAAAAAAAAAAAAAAAAAGATGGGGGTGCAGATATCTCTTCCATATTCTGATTTTCTTTCATTTGGATAAATTCCCACTAGTAGGATTGCTGAATCATATTGTAGTTCTAGTTACAGTTTTTTGAGGAACCTCCATGCTATTTTCCATAGTTGCTGTACTCGTACTTGTATAAGAGTTCCCTTTTCTCTGCTGCATTCTCATCGGATTTATTATTTTTTTGTCTTTTTGATAATAGACATCCTAACAGGGGTGAGATGATACCTCATTGTGGTTTTGATTTGTATTTCCCTCATGATTAGTGATGTTGAACATTTTTTCATATATATATATATATATATATATATATTTTTTTTTTTTTTTTTTTGAGAGTCTGAGTTTCACTCTTGTTACCCAGGCTGGAGTGCAATGGCATGATCTCGGCTCACCGCAACCTCCGCCTCCTGGGTTCAGGCAATTCTCCTGCCTCAGCCTCCTGAGTAGCTGGGATTACAGGCACGCACCACCATGCCCAGCTAATGTTTTGTATTTTTAGTAGAGACGGGGTTTCACCATGTTGACCAGGATGGTCTCGATCTCTTGACCTCGTGATCCACCTGTCTCGGCCTCCCAAAGTGCTGGGATTATAGGCGTGAGCCACCGCGCCCGGCCATTTTTTCATATATTTATTGGTCATTGGTATGTGTTTGAGAAATGTCTGTTTAGATTATTTTTACATTTTTAAACTTGGCATTTTTTTTTTTTTTTTTTTTTTTTTTTGCTGTTGAGATATTTGAGTTCCTTGTTTATTCTGGATATTAATCCCCTGTCTGGCAGGTCCAATGGTAATGGGTTCTCAGAATTTAACATTAGTGTCACTAAAGTTGATATATGACTCCCCACTGTTAAATTTGACTGGCTCAAACAGAAAAATACCCTGTTGGAGGAATAATTTACTATTCTGTATAATAATTGTCCTATTCTGTAGTTTGTCTTTTTACTCTGTTGTTTCTTTGTTGCACTGAAGCTTTTTAGTTTAACATAATCCCACTTGTTCATTTTTGCTTTTGTTTTTTGTGCTTTTGAGGTCTATCTTTTCCCAGACTAAATAATGTCCTGAAAAATTTCTTAAATGTTTTCATCTAGTCATTTTATTGTTTGGGTCTTACATTTAGGTCCCCATCCACTTACAGTTGATTTTTATATAGAGTGAGAGATGGGGATCCAGTTTCATTCTTTTGTATATGTATATCCAGTTTTCCCACTATCATTTATTGAAGAGACTGGCCTTTCCCCAGTGAGTGTTCTTGGCACGTTTGTCAAAAGTCAGTTGGCCATAGATAAGTGGATTAATTTCTGTGTTCCTATTTTGTTCCATTGGCCTATTTTTATGCCAGTACCAGGCTGTTTTGGTTACTACAGCTTTGTAGTTTACTCTGAGGTCTGTTAGTGTGATTCCTCTAGCTTTTTTCTTTTTGCTCAGGGTTGCTTTGGCTATTCAGGGTCTTTTGTGGCTCCCTACAAATTTTAGGAATTTTTTTTTTCTGTTTCTGTGAAGAATGTCATTGGTGTTTTGATAGAGATGGCATTCAGTCTGTAGATTGCTTGTCATTTTAACTATATTAATTCCTCCAATCCATGAGCATGTGATGTCTTTCTATGTGTTTGTATCCTCTTCAGTTTCTTTCATGAGTGTTTCGTAGTTTTCCTTGTAGTACCTTTCACCTCCTTGGTTAAATTTATTCCTAGTATTTTATTTTATTTTTGGTAGCTGTCATAAATGGAATTGGACCCCCCCCGCACCACCGTTTTTTGTTTTTTTTTGAGATGGAGTCTTACTCTGTCACCCAGGCTGGAGTGCAGTGGTAAGATCTCAGCTCACTGCAACCTCTGCCTCCTAGTTTCAAGTGATTCTCCTGCCTCAGCCTCCTGAGTAGCTGGGACTGCAGGTGCACGCCACCACACCTGGCTAATTTTTGTATTTTTATTAGAGACTGGGTTTCACCATGTTGGCCAGAATGGTTTTGAACTCCTGACCTCAGGTGACGTACCTGCCTCGGCCTCCCAGTGTGCTGGGATTACAGATGTGAGCCACTGTGCCCGGCCAGAATTATCTTCTTGATTTCTTTTTTAGCTAGTTTGTTGTTGGTGTATAGAAGTGCTACTGATTTTTGCATATTTTGTGTCCTGTAATCTTACTCAATTCAGTCATCAGTGGTAAGAGTTTTGGGTAGAATCTTTAGGTTTTTCTGTATATAAGATTATGTCATCTGCAAACAGGGACAATTTTACCTCCTCTTTCCAATTTGGATGTCTTTTATTTCTTTCTCTTGCCTAATTGCTCTGGGAAGGACTT